CCCTTTTTTGTGTGTGTTATTACTTGTATGTTTTGTATTTTTTGTCTTTTAACAGGTCTCTCTTGGAAATGAGATTCTGAATCTCAATGAGGTTACCTGTATAAAAAAAAGGTGAAAAAAAAAAACAATTCCAGATAATTCCAGTGAAAGATCCCTGTAACTCACCTGTTCAGTCAAATCATCTATGTCTGTGTCTTCTATCTGGTCTTTGTCTGACAAACACGTGAGCTCCTCACGCTTGTCTGCAACCAAGGTCATCTCAGCAAAAAAGTCCTGAGTCTCATCCCAGACAACAGCCTCGCTTTCATTCAAACTCTGGGCCAACTTTTGAGTCTCYTCCTGAAAACAGGACCCTGAACTGTTCGCATCATTGTTCATTTTCTTCTCCGCCACCTTGGCACACGACGGCTGTATTTGAAGTTCTGTGGTCTCAGGGCAGGAACGGGGATCTAGAGGACTGCTCAGCAMGTTACTGCAGCGAGCTGAACTCTGCAAGTCCTTGTCTGCGGTGGAGCCTGGTGAGTTTTGTCTCTGTCGAGCAGCTCGTGGCACATAGAGGGGCTTGTCTGGCCTTTTAGGTGCCCGGCTTCGAGTCGGGACAGGAGCTTTGAGCTTGACACCATCATTCATCTCCCCTTTTGAGCTCAGAGGCTCTTCATCATAGCCGTTATCCTCAAAATCACCATCTTCATCTGACTCACTCCTGCAGGAAAACAAACCGTGAATATAGTTTTGAACAACCAGCCTCAGGCTACACTCAAACATTTGAAAATTTTACTGACAAGCTAAATAATTGTGTTCAGAAGAAATTCCTTTCCCAAGGATTTAACTTCCTTTCATAGCACAGATTTAAGGTTTGTTCAGTACCTGAGCTCAGCTGGGCAGACCACCACCTGACGGCACCAAGTTTCACCGACAGAGAAGGTGGTGAGCTCTGGGATGTCCTCTACAGTCCTGTGGATCAGGTACCGCAGCCTGCTGGGTAACGGGGGGAACAGCAGCACGCTGGACAGAGACAGAAACATGTAGCGCCTGTTATTTTTAATTCAGCATGCTTGTGTGGAAGATGGCGCAAAGGTCTTGTAAAATGATGGGTAAAAGGGATAAATTGTTTTTGTATTTAAATTGTTTTGTTATTTTGGTTCTGTTTTTGTAAATATATTAGAAATTTCATTCCTCTTGTCTGAGCTCACTTCCTCTTTATTTAAGTATATTTTTTGTCACTTAGTACTTAATTTTAGTTGACAGGGTATATAGTTATATTTTTCTTATAATCTGTATGTCCTGGTGAATGGTACAATTTAACAAATTCTAAACCATAAATATATATAAAACAGTTTAATCTCAATCGGGTCTAAAATATCCCACATGTCAGGAGGGAGACCTGGCTGACGCCCAACATAAATTATTCAAGCTAATAACAATAAAACTATCAGTAACCCGTACTGTTACATGGTGTTTTGATTAAAACACTTGCAAAAATTAAATTTTGTAAAAAAATAACAAATGTGTTATCAATGTATCATTTCAATGAACTGTCTGAAATAT